CCCGTTTCTAGTTCAGCGATGAAAACCGGCGATTATGAATCTGGAAATGATGGAATAATGATCTCAAATGTCCTTCTATCTTGATTTAGGGAAATAAGCATTGTTGAGTTATTTTTGGTAGGATTAATTTAGATTAAAGTTTTCCGTGGATTTTTGATGCCGAATGCCATAAGTATTTGAAATATTCGCGTTTTTACAGTAATTACCAGGTAATTTGACCGCAAACAGTATTTTTAGGTGGTACAAAGCAAGATAGTTTAAAATTGTTTAATTCACTTCGCTTAGGTCAAGAATGACAATATCCTGTGCATCGAGCTATCACTTATTGTCTAAGACAACCGATCGCTTTCAAGTTTATGAATTTTGACCATTATGCTACGCATGCTGCTACTTTTCCGGCTTGAGAACCCAAATTATACAATCTCACCTACACCTAGATCGCTGCTCGATGGTATTTTCAACCGGTGTCCACTAATTTTCAAAGTGAAGCCCTCGATGCCGCTTGGAATATTGGCAATTGATGAGCTTGATGAAGCAGATGACCTCAGAGAAGGCATCTCGTCGGTGGTAACACTCAATTTACGTGGTTCAGTCACGCCTGAATAAATAATTGTTCAATGTAAATGTAAGATATAGGTCCCAGAAGTCGTATGATGGATTGTTCAAGATTTTCTAAGATGATTTTCAGGAGCCCGAAATTGACATAATCGATGATCAAACGAGTGACTTCATGAATAAGAAAAGGAGATTGGAGTTGCACCTGCAAATATCAATATAATGGGTTCAAAATAACGAGCTAAACATAACGAGCTGTTCACGTATCGAGAACCATCGACTCGTGATTTGGTGGCGTATAGGCCTATCTTAAATAAAGAGGCTGAGGTGCCGTTGTCAGGCCGCGTCCAGTCCCATGGAGTTTCTTCACTATTTCTCCAAACTATAACTCATCTCCTAAATAAGATAGAAGGCTGAAATCTGGAATGCTAATTCAGAGGCTTTTCTTTATCTTCTTTATTTCTCAATATTTTTCAGTTTCTTAATATTTATTATTTTTTAAACCTGGAAATTAATTATGGAGAAATTCAGTACCGTCCAACGTACAAAAATTTTAAAATTTTATTATCAAATCAAGGCTCAATAATTCAAACCCAAAGAGCTTATCGAAGGCATTTCAATGTAAGAAACAACAACCACAAGCAACTGCAAGATTGTGCCAACAAGCCGCAATCTTTAATGGATTCACCTATTGGCTATAGGATAACATCACTAGAGAAATAAAAGAAGTAAGCCCATAAACTTTTAAAGTTTATGGCTGAGGTAACCGAAAGAGCTGCAATTTGTGAAGAAGGAAATGGAAGGCATATGTAGGCAGAATGTTATTTTTCACAACGATAAAGTTTCTAAACCTTCTAAAAGTATTTTTGTAATGAGAATAAAATCAAATTTGTGTTAGAAAATCCCTTTCCACTGCCTAAACTTTATGATATTAAAATTTCATGCATATAACTGTTGAAATAAAAAAGTTATTTAAAATTTAAATGGTTCAGTGACTTTTAGCCCATCATGTACATTCATTGACGAGCAACCGGCGTCAGGGAAAGCTTATTACGCTGCCTCCTATACCATATCTTCCTCACTACCTTCCAAAGCTATGGCTACGTTAGGATACAGGTGGTGAAGGCGTACGAGTCTTCAATCCTTCGCTGGGTGTTAACTTTGGCTTTGGTTAAACGGCATCAAAATTTACAGCGTATTCGTCTACTAGTCTCATGGAAGACTCGACTTCTAAAATTCAATAAAGCCTCATCTTCAAAGCCGATGTTTTCAAGTTCGTCTAATGCCATTCAGAGTTTCTGCATTATGTTTCTCCAGCCTAGGAACTAACCAGCGTCGGCACGAAAAAGGTGTTTACACATGCCCGATGTGTTGCCATCATTGAACCTGTAAATATCGCCACAAAGTTTGTACCGACTGTTGGCCTGATTTATATCTCAGCCAACATGGGACTCGCTTGTTCTTCGCTCCTTGAAATATTTCCATTTACCACATCTGATTCATGGCATTTTGCAGGGCCTAAGAAAGTCCATTCACATTCCACCAAGCAGCTGGCCGATCGACACTGCGTCACCGACACGCGATGATGACACTTATTTAAGCGCACTGAACGTCATGCGCGGTTGAAGGATCAACAGCAACATCAATCACTTAATATTCAGCCAAATAGCGCCAAATCCGCCCACTAATTTATCTCCTAAATTAGTATGGCAGCCAAATGTCGCCTAACATGCCCAAACTGGCAGCTGCTCATTGACAATCAAAAGTTAACTTGGTATTCTTTAACCACGCGTTCGGAATGTTTCGTTGAGCTTTCGTCTGGTAATGAATACCTTGTCTTGTCTTGAATATTTAAGACAAGTCTCGTCTCGTTATGTCGCGTCTCGTTTCATATCTGTCTCGTGTCGTTTAATAATTATCGGGACACAAGATTTTAAGTCCCAGGACACAAGTCCTGTCCTGGGATAAATTTTACCCTCTTTTCCGCTTTTTCCCAGTAATTTCTCGTCTCGTCCCGGTTGTCCCGGTTCATTTGGAGAAAATTATTCCGAGAAGCAGGAGTTTACTATAGTGCGCGCGTCAGCATCAAGTACGTACGTTGACATCCAAGTCTGCACGTCGGAACCTTAGCTCGCACTCTGTTCAGCGACTCGACGTTTTGACATTAGTTGCAATTTCTTGCGAAGTAAATTTTGTTAGTGTTTTTATATCAAGCTTGATGCATTGCATCTAATTGAAATTAATAAATTTTCGTTAAGCCGTTTATATTTTTTCCTTTTGTTGTCTGAAGTAAGTAATCTGCGACGTACATATCTGCGGCATTCAGTAACACAAAAGGAGGGCAGGAGGTTCGTTCTTTACCAGCAACTCGAACTTGCATAGCAACGAAACCTTGGCAATGATTTTGCCATTGACTAAGTTTCATTGTTAAAAAGAGTGTGCCTAAGCTAATCATGGTTTACGTCCTTTGAAGTTGAGGTCTGGAGAATAATATAGTATATGTTAACTGAATAAGACCATTTTTTATACAAGTAATCGAATACATTTAATACATACAATTCCAAAAAACTTAATCGGGGTCTTACCGGAGTCTAAATGCCAAGAGAGTGTGATAACGTTGGTAACAAGTAAAGCGTATATGGTGAGGATGATTTTGGGCAACGAAAGTGCCGTTCAAAAACATTACCGAAATAGAAATTACGTTCTAGTGTAGATTTTTCATTCTCTGTTTAGTGGTTTTATATATATACCAGATTCATTCCTCAAATGATGCATTATGAATCGCAAGAAAAGCAGTACCGTGCCTCCTCTTCAAATTCAAAGGATGCTTTCTCAGTTATTTTGCCATTTAAGCGATCACATGATACTAAAATTACAAAAGGAATTTACTATTAGAAAGAATGAAAATAAATCGATAGAAATAAACTTCCACGCGTGAGTGTAAACGTCTTTCAACTCATCAACAAGTTTGTAATTAATTACTCAGCGTTACTATAGTTTTTTTTGGTGATATTATGAGATCAGTTTGGATGCTCATGAATCATTCGCTTATAAGCAACTTATCTAAAGACAGACAACATTTAACGTCATCTTCTCCATACGTTCACGTCATGTGACGTTCGAAGCCACCGAACGTTTTTGACCGTCGACTTAATTTAGTAGCTCTTGTTCAGTGTTCGTAGCTCAGCAATCACACAATTATAACCATGGACCGTATATACTATCTAAACTCGCCTAAGTACACGTAGCGGCCTGAGTTCAATCAGTAGCCTGAGTACACGTAGCGGCCTAAGTTCACGCAGTGGCCTATATATGAACACGTAACGGCCTAAATATACCTATTGGGGCCTAATAACACGTAGCGGCCTGATTACACTCAGTGGCCTAAGTACACGTAGCGGCCTAAGTTCACGCAATGGCCAAAGTATGCGTAACGGCCTAAGTACACGTAACGGCCTAAGTACACGTAAGTACACAGAGTGGCCTAAGTACACGTAGCGGCCCGAGTACCGGTATAGGGACCCTAATAACATGTAGCGGTCTGATTACCCGTAACCATAGCTACACGTACGTAGCCATAACTACACGTAGAGACGATTCCTCTCATGCTATTGTTGGTTTAAGCTTGACAATCTTTCAGTGACTGACTGTTGGACTTACAAACTTGTAACTTTGTAATTTGGGAAGTACGGCAACAGATTTGTCGTGCAGCCTCAGCATAGCATTCATGCTTCGGCTCACCAACATTTATTAACTAACCGGACCGCAAGAGTATTAAATTTCTTAATTTTATCTACACATAATTAACTTCCTTATTACGTGCATGCCTTAAATGATGTTGGATGCAGAATAGAATATATGAAGTTAATGTAAGTCATATTTGGGCACCAATTCCTATTAAAACAGTGATTTTATATTTTTTTGGGAGATTAACGAACCGAGCCCCTGCAACTTAAGACTCATTTCTGAGCGCAGATTTCAAGTACTTTGGTTTGCTAGAGGTTTTCTTTAAGTTATGTTTCTGATCGATGTTGGAATAACCTAATTTCTTGATGAGTTTACCATACAACAGTTTTCTGTGCTCAATCATGATGGCCGCAAGGGAAAAAATCCCTTCATTTTCAATTAAACGAGTTGAAGGGAATAAACGCGGAAGAAATATGAGTATATACATCGAATTAAGTTTCAGTTGTAACGTTAATTTATGTCGAAATATTTAGCTTAATAATATTTAATTTCGATTGGGTTGAAAATCCATGTGTTTATTACTTATTTAATATATAACATTATTTCGAGACCGATATCAGCTATGATTTATAATCAATTGCAAAATTTTTGCTTATTAATCTGAATCTTTCATGAAATTGTGCCTTAATTCTGTATCTGTAGCAGGAGATGTTAACTGAGACATTAAATGGACTTTTAAGGATAGAAACTTGAATGGATGAATGTAGTTGAACATTTATTCAGTGAATTCAGTGAATGAAAATTTGAGCTTCATATAAGTATCATTACTTCATTTTAATGTTATTTAAATGATTAAATGGCCAGGGGTAAATATTTGAAGACGTGTTTCAAGTCTTACATCTATAATAGTTCAAATTGGCAGTTGTCAAATTAATGAATGCAAAGAAAACTAAATATTATCTTATAGGTATATACTTAGCTATGTTTTTAGGTGTCACAATCGAATCATTAAATTTGCAAAAATTACAAACATCTCACTGCATTGTAGCCAAATAATACAGGTCTTAAGCCGTAAATGTTATTCTTCAATTATCGTCGCGTTTATGACTCAGTGCCTTGGTATACACCATTCATAAAATAATTCGTGACGAGCTAACACTTCAAATTTGGAACGAACAATTTTTTAGAACTACGTAAGCTGTTAGGAATCAAATTTCGGAATGTTTCATATTATCTGAAAAATTATCTTTGAACGTAAGTTTACCCATAAAGGGATCAGAGCATCGTCTACCCCTATGTTTATCTAAGTTGAATGGTCAAGTCACGCCTGGAATAATCAACTATTATAATTGAACCCCATTTGCCGAAGGATCTTCCGAACGAAATGCTGGCAGTTGTTGAGCAGGGCATCGAACGGACTGCTTATTATCGCCTTAAACTCTTCTTTCAACACTGAGATAAGATCATTTACGGTGTCTAGCTTTTTGCTCACGCCAAGACTCTCTGAACATCGTGTCTGCAGGACGGAGAAGCCCTTTACACGGTCTTCTTTCATTGATTTCTTAATGACCGCATCCGCCTGAAGACTCCTTTGCACCAAGATGCCCTCTGCATACCTTTCAAAAGACCAATAAGCTCGCCCAATGCGTATGGTTACAAACATATGAAAAGCATCGAAGATAACGCTGAAAACGCTGCCTTCGATTGGAGACTTCTGGCTGCTCTCCAGAGGAACTTTGTACACATCAACAGCACCCAAATCTTCACCGTCCACCTCGGCACAACACAACATTGTTTCCCACAGCTGATCAGGCGATATTTTGAACACTTCTCCTGTTTCTCGCTCTGTTCTCGGGTCGAAGAAGATCGTCGAAGAAGAACCTGAGAAAATATCAGGAGAATTGATCTTTTGGACTTGCTATTCTTGTTTTGTGATCTACAACTTTAAAATGAAGATGATAACCTCAATTATGGGGTACAATTAATTTATCAAGAGGAAATGATGTGAAGATTGTCAAGGTCTATCGTAAGACTTTTTTTGTGAAATATACTTGCGATTCTGAAGCGTGTGTGGCGAAGCATAACAAACAACGGAAATTTTTCGATAATTGAGCTCGATGAATTTCTGACACAATATTTTTATAAATATCGTACAAGGGATATCATAAATGAGCTTTATCGCACTATTAAGAATTAAAAGTACAAGGCATTCGTCTTCGTTCGTTACATTTGTTATTACGCAACAAAATTCCCGCGGTAGAATCTTCATTACATGATGTAAAAATTGTAATCAATCGTAGGCCTTAAATCATGGCCGCTCATAAGTCTGAAAATTATAACCACCAAGAAGCAATAAATTTAATTTTAGAACTCACCTCCACCGAGAGCGCGGCTCGATGAAATGTTCACCGATTTTCCATCAATAATAAAACTGAAGCCACTGATGCCGTCACGAAACTTGTGATTTGATGAACTTTTTGAGAGCAGCAATGAACTCAAAGAACTCACAGCAAACATCTTTCTTCTCGGTGGCAGCTCTCACTTCAGTGGCCTGTAATATAATGAATGAGATCAATGAGACACCAAATTAAGTGACTCGAGAGGGAGATAATAATGTGCATATTAACTATAATTAATATAATATTTTAATAGGCGTCAGTTTAGCCTGTAATATATTGAAAGAGAACAATGTAAGTGGAACCTCAAACGAAATTTGAAAGGGAGATGATTATTAATTTGTACTTCAAAATTGTTGTGACTTGAAAGCGAGGAATGAGGTAATATTTTAAGGACATGGGATTTCTTGGGATTCATTGCAATTTGAAGCAATATAACAGACGAGTTTATAGAGACAAAGATTTAGGAATGAACAAAGGCAAGTGCAATGAATAACGAATAAATATATTGTATTGAAACATAGTTTAGGAATTATTAATCAAGCTTTGAAATGAAGCAAGAAAAGATTATGAGAAGACAGGAGAGAAACACATTTATTTTGGGCTGTTACTATTGTTATCTATAATATATACAGGACATCATATCTCAACAACAAGTTATTGACAAAGTTCGCCACGTCATACAATTTATAAATTTTCTGTGGTTAACGTAAGGATGATAAATTTTAGGTATATTAATTAATTTTTTTATTATAGTATCAATACATAAATTATATTTTTGTCTATCGACATAATTAGCTTTGTATATCTTCATCAATTTTGGTATTAATTCTGAAAGAGGTAAAATATTAATATGGCTTGTTGAATAGAGTAACTTTGATGGGAAAGTTTGGGCGCCGAAGCTTTATCATCGCGTTTGATTCATCGAAATGCCAAAACACAAGTAGATGACAATAATTTTTTTTTATGATTGATTTTACAAAATTATATCCCGCAATTTACGCGATTTAAAAATTCATAATTAAAGACGGTGTAATGATTGACGAAATTCGAATTATTTCCGGTTGCATTATTTTTTTTTGTTACTACAATGGATATTAAGTTTGTCGCGGTATTGTCAACAATTGAGACTAAATTCGCAATTATCTTGATATTATATTCAAAGGCTGCGGAACTAACTGCGATATAGTCGTTTTGAGCCAATATCGTGGCAATCATCATAGTTATTAGTAGCCGTTTTAATGGTAATTTTCAAGATTGCCATGATATTTACCGTTGTTGAAGTTATAGAAGTTTTTCGAATGCAGTAGTTATTTTTATGATGAATCTTCTGTTTCAGCTCAAAATTCATGAATTGAAGCACAAAACCTCACTCAAGTAAACATAAGATTATTTCGTAAAATTTTAAATCAAGTTAGTACAAAAACTTAACGAGGAACACTCACCAAAATCGCAGGAGAAGTTTGGCCAGCAGACACGTCAACCTTCCTTGCTGAAGTGCAACCTGCGACTGAACTCTTGACTGCAGATGCTGCAGGATATATAAGGTGCAAGCTGAGGTTGTGCACTCACAGTGCACAACCCTGAACGATTTCTTTGTTCCCCTCGGCGCCTCCCTCGAGTTATGAGTACGAGATCATACATTCGGAAAATTAATGGGGCATATTGTCCATATTGTTGTGCACTTCCTTCACATAGATCTGATACACAGTTACAATTGATGCACCGTGACGTTAAACTAATACACCGTTACATTCATTCAAATATTTTCGTCACGAACACGTTTCTTACAGAGTAGCCAAAAATGTCCCTTTCTTACGCAAATGAAATGAAATCTCAAATAAAATCCTTCAACGTACACCGGCACGTTCAGTGCGTCCGCTGCCAACTGATCGTTCTCGGGATCGCGAACGTTCCTCGCCCAAACTTTATTGCCCAGCAACGCGGAGTCCTGCCGTTGCTGTGAACTTTACAATAAATTAACTTAATGTCTTTTTGCAATGCACTGTAACACATCAATAAGTTCTGAATAATAGAATTGCCTTTATCTTCAATGATTATGGGTTTGTGAATGCAATACAACGATAAATCAAGTTGATGGTAGACGCTAGTAACAGTCGGCAACTGAGGGGCAAGATAGGGAACTAGCTTTTGTTGGCAAGTACGAATAAACAATTCATGAAAAATAATTACTAAAATAAAATTATCTGTCTGATACCGACAGGGAAGAAATATGAAACGAGTAGAAAAATAGTATGAGCAGCAAGATAATTTTTATTAAATTCATTAAATGGGAACAAAAAAATTTTACACAAGTTAACGTCGGATCATTTCTACATAATTGTAACCGAGATTATCATTAAATAGAAAAACGAGGAAAACGACGCAGAAAGTCGAATAAGTTTCGTCATTCAGGAAGGTTGAGGATTAGATGATGAAAATCCCCCGAAATTTTTGTACGTTGATATTATATGACTCCTGAAGAACCAGGCTAAATCTGTTTACTCCGATGTCATTGACAATGTCTCCTTCAAAAAGTTTGCTTTTTCGAAATTTAATAATTTCTGAACATTCTGTTCGGCCTGCGCAGTTTGAGGTGTGTGGTTTCACTTTAATTGTTAGTATAAAAAAGTACCGAACCATTCGTCATAGCGAACCTTCTAGTCCGGACGCTTCAACCATAACATGATGCAATGGCGGTGGCCGTAGTTCAGCGGAAGTCAGACGTTTTGTTTCGTTGGAACGCCATACAAGCGCATTCTAACTATGTTTAATCTCAGAAGAGCAGAAAATGTTTGCTCTAATCATATTTTTAGCCTTATGTAACAAATGCTCTCAATTACAGTAAATCAGTCAGAAAAAAAAACAGAGTGAACAATTTGTTGCTAGATTTATAGCTATCCGCTGGAGCTAATTTTTCCAGCCTCATGCGCTGAAAATATGCTAAATTTGGAATACGTTTAGATCTAGAGTCACGAAGTGCTAAGTCTCCAGAAGCCCAAAGCAAAAGTTTCGCAGACATATTATCATCTCAGAGCAATATTTAGGAGAAATTATAAACATTATGGTTGAATTATAGAAACAACAAATATCTTGATAGCCAATTTGCAAAAGTGTCAAGGTGAGCGTATGGCAATATTAGCAATAACTCAATGAATAAGATGAGAAACAATACGTTTATACAAGAACATTCAAGGCATTGTAAACTAGTAGGCTTACTTGTCAAAAAGATTCCCTTATTTATAAATAGGAAAATGTGTCAACTCTTTTGCAAAAATTTATCTTGTAACTTCTCATCAATCAAATTCACCTTGTGCAATATGCACGAAAAATAGATTCAAATTGCCGAATAAGTTTTCTAATAAAAACTCGTCACCAAGTGGAACTTGGCGGCTATGAAACAAGCGCACCTCCTCTAAAGATAATTTATTCACTTTAAAGCGCTAAAAATTCTGTTAAAATATCTGGACCAATATCAATCAATTTCACAATATCTGTTAAAATATCTGTCCGCCATCAACACCGTGAAGCAGACGTGAGCATTTGTCTGCAGCAACCGACGACTCGTTTGCTTCCTTATGGTCATAGCCTTGATCATGACATTCACTGGCAAGTGAATTTCATGTTGTTTTGGTCAGGCTAGGCAAATTTTGGTGTGTATATGTTGCAGTAAGCTTATGTATATTTTGCATCAATAATACTTGCATTAAATGAACGTTTTTTTTCGTGAAAGATTGTCCTTAGTTCTAATTCCATGGAAGTATTCGCGAGGAAATGGTCGTATTCAAATAATTGTTGTCCTAAAAAATGATTTATTTGAGATAACGTCCTCATAATCGCCATTCATACTCCAAGACACTATCCAAATATGAATAACTCAGCTGGCCCCGATTGATTGTGAAACTCTCATACGCTGCTGTGAAAATCCAACCTGGAATATATTGAATGTGCTGTAATAAGATAGTTTTGTACAATGGACAATGATCAACGATAACTATGATTCTTAATCAAGAATGTGGAGCCACATTTTTCTTCGCATCGTACACCATACAGCCAGCGCACTGCTTCTCTCATATATGTCTCTTTTTATTCAAATTCATTCCATATATGATGTTTCCCTTCCAAAACATGCAATTATTCTGCACCATGAGTTGTAGAAATGAGTTTTACTATTAAAGAATATACGTCACGTTACAGAAACGCACTCCATCNGCTTCAGTTTGGCCTGTAATTTAATGAATGAGATCAATGAGCCACCCAAGTAACACGAGAGGGAGATAATAATATACATGTTAATTATAATTAATAAAATATTAATAGGCGTCATTTATGCCTGTAGTGTAATGAATGATATCAATGCCAAATTGAACCTCCGAGGTAACTTGAAAGGAATATAATAATATGCGTATTAATTATTAATAACATAGTATTAATAGGCGTCATTTATACCTGTAATATTTTAAATGAGAACAATAAAAGTGAAGCCTCACAGGTAATTGAAAGGAAGAGGATTATCAATTTGCATTTAAAATTTTTAGTGATTTTAAAACGAGGCATAAGGTAATATTCAGAGGACTTGAGATTTTTATAGGGATTCATTTAAATTTAAATGCAATATAACAGACGAGACTATGGGAACAAAGAAAGAATGATTAAAAGCGAGCAGAAAGAATGATGAATGACTGTATTATATTAAAACATAGTTCAAGAATTGTTTCAAGCTATGAAGTGGGGTAAGAAAAGATTATATGGAGAAGACAGAATTGAAATGCATTCATTTTAAGTTGTTAATATGGTTATCTTTAATCTATGTGGGATATCATATCTCAACAACGAGTAATTGAGAACGTTCGCCAGGTCATAGAGCTATAAATTTTCTATGGGTAACGTAGAGATGGTAAAGTTTATGTTTATCAAAATTTTGGTAATAATTTTTGAAAAGGTAAAATAATAATAGGACTCGTTGAATAAAGTAATTTTTATGGGAAAGTTTGGGAGCCGCAGCTTCGTTATCGCGTTTGATTCTTCGAAATGCCAAAACACGGGAAGATGACAATGATTTTTTTCGATGATTGATTTTACAAAATTATATCGCGCAATTTACGCGGTTAAAAAATTTAAAATAATAGACGGGGTAATAATTGACGAAATTCTAATTATTTCCGGTTAATTAATTTTTGTGTTACTGTAATGGATATTAAGAATGGATATTATGTTTGTCGCGGTAAATGGATATTAAGTTGTTAACAATTGAGACTAATTTCGCAATTATCGTGATATTCTTTTCAAAGGCTGCAGAACTAATTGCGATAGTCGTTTTGAGCCAATATCGTTGCAATCATCATAGTTATTAGTAGCAGATTTAATGGTAATCTTCAAGATTGTAATGATATTTACCGTTGTTGAAGTTATAGAAGTGTTTCGAATGCAGTAGTTATTTGTATGATGAATCTTCTGTTTCAGCTCAAAATTCATGAATTGAAACACAAAACCTCACGCAAGTAAACATAAGAATATTTCAAGAAATTTCAAATCAAGATTGTGCGAAAACTTAACGAGGAACTCTCACCGAAATTGCAGGAGAAGTTTGGCCAGCAGACACGTTAACCTTCCTTGATGAAGTGCAACCTGCGACTGAACTCTTGACTGCAGATGCTGCAGGATATATAAGGTGCGAGGAAAACTTATCCACTCAAGGAAAATAAACTCGGTTGCCTGGCACAATATACTCGGTTGCCTGGCACAATATACTCGGTTGCCTGGCACAATATACTCGGTTGCCTGGCACAATATACTCGGTTGCCTGGCATAATATACTCGGTTGCCTGGCATAATATACTCGGTTGCCTGGCATAATATACTCGGTTGCCTGGCATAATATACTCGGTTGCCTGGCATAATATACTCGGTTGCCTGGCATAATATACTCGGTTGCCNACCAGCATGATACATACATAATATAAATTACAGAATAAAACTGTACGAAAGATTTCGGTGTAATGTTGTCAACCTCAGCCTGTTACTAGTGTCAACATGTTTGTTGTTACTTGTTAAGTTGTTACCAGTTACCACTTACAGGTATTTTTAGCGCATTTCCTCATTTATGGAAAAAATTCACTATTGTGCTTGCCATGTCCGTCTGTCCGTCTGTCTGTCTGTCCGTCCGTGACTCCACGTTTTCGTCGACGAGAAAATGCGCTCTCTATCACTCACTGCAATGAGTACTGAGTTTTATTTTTTCATGTTTCAGTTTGCTTACAGTTATTTTTACACAGTTATTTTTATGTTTCACCTTCCCTACATGGATGTCTACTTTTACTTTAATCTACCAATCTCAAAAATAATCCACATATATATACAAATAAAAGACCTTCTAAGAAATAACTCTATAAGTGGCATCCAAAAAATCGAAATGTGCCAGATTGTTGTTCGAATCAATCCTAGTGTAATACCAATTTCTAAATAGAAACGAAACATGATAGAAATGTCTGTCACAATGTATATTTTCTTGGTGGCACAACCGAATCAATTAATCTGCTGGGCTTGTAGGTAAAACGGAAATAATTATTTATAATAAATGAATGTTTCCTTAAGTGTTTTTTTTCGCTGATAGTTTAGCATAGACACTGTAAATCAAAACAAATGAACTTTTAAAGAAAGAAAAATATGAATGCATAACATTTATTTAGATTATTTGTACGCCACATGAGACGAAAATTTTTCTGTACGAAATTTTGGCAGTTGTCGAGCAAGACGTGGTATGGACTATTGATTATTGTTAACTTGGAATCTTCCTTCAACACTGAGATGAGATATTCTACGGTTTTTAGCTTGTCGATCAAACTGAGAGTCGGCGAACTTGTCGTTCCCAACAAAGAGGAGCCTTTTACACGGTCTTCTTTTATTGATTTCTTACACAACAGCGTCCAGAGAGAATTCATTGAATTGTCTAGCAATTCATTGATAG